GAAAATTTCTTGACAAATGATAATGGAAACTCAACATACCCAAACCAATAGGGTACAGCAAAAGCAGTACTAAGATTGAAGTTTATAGCAGTTAATGTCTACATCAAATAAGTAGAAAGATCTCACATAAACAACCTAACATTTTAGCTCAAGGAAGCAGAAAACAAGGATAAACCAAACCAGAATTAGTAGAAGAAAAGAAATAATAAAGATCAGAGCAGAAATAAATGAAATAGAGACTGAAAAAAACAAAAGATTAACAAAACAAAGAGTTGTTTTTTTTTGAAATGATAAACAAAATTGACAAACCTTTGGCCAGGCTAAGAACAAAAGGGAGAAACTCAAATAAATAAAATCAGAGACAGCAAAGGAGATACTACAACTGACACCACAGAAATACAAAGGATCTTTACTACTACTGTGTTTGGTAAAAGAAAAAAAGAAATGCAAAGGATCTTTAGAGATTATGAACAACTATATGCCAACAAATTGGAGAACCTAGAAGAGAGAAAGAAATCTCTGGACACATAAAATGTACCAAGACTGAATCATGAAGAAATAGAAAACCTGAACAGACCAATAATGAGTAATGAGATTGAATCAGTAATAAAATCTTCCATCTAAGAAAAGCCCAGGACAAGATAGCTTTACTGCTGAATTCTACCAAACATTTAAAGAAGAAATAATACTAGTTCTTAAATTATTCCAAAAAATGAAGAGAAGGTAATTCTTCCAAACTCATTTTATGAGGCCATTATTACCCTGATACCAAAAGCATACAAGGATACACAAAAAAAGAAAACTGCAGGCCAGTATACCTGATCAACATAGATGCAAAAATTCTCAAAAAAAAAAAAATACTAACAAACTGAATCCAACAGCAACAGAAAAAAAAAAATCAGAAGATAGAAAGTGTTGATGAGGATGTGAAAAAAGGGAAGCTTTACACACTGCTGGTGATCATGTAAATTAGTATAGCCATTATGGAAATCAGTTTAGAGATTCCTCAAAAAATTAAAAATACCAGCCAGGCACAGTGGTTCACACCTGTAGTCTCAGCACTTTGGGAGGCTGAGGCAGGAGGTTCACTTGAAGCCAGGTGTTCAAGACCAGCCTGGGCAACATAAAAATACACAGAATAGATTAGTGGTTACCAGAGAATGGAGAGGGTAGGGAAGAGAGGGGAATGGAGAAAGATTGGTTAATAACAGGTACAGAGTTACAATTAGGAGGAATAAGTTCTGGTATTCAATTGCAGCAGTCCCCAACCTTTTTGACACCAGGAACTGGTTTCATGGAAGATAAATTTTCCATGGACCAGGGGTTATTGGGGGGAGAGGGATGGTTTCAGGATGATTCAAGCACATTACATTTATTGTGCACTTTATTTCTATTATTACTACATTTTAGTATATGATGAAAAATTATACAACTCGCCATAAGGCAAAATCAGTGGGAACCCTGAGCGTGTTTTCCTACAACTAGTTGGTCCCATCTGGGGGTGATGAGAGACAGTAACACTGAAGTGTGTTGCTTATGTCTAGTCTATTCCATAATCTCGTTTTGGTTGCTATCACTGCAGAAAACCCTGCTTCACAAAGATAGTATGCTGGAAATGGAAACAGGCTTTTCAGTGCTTTTGTGGCAATCAGGATTTTCTGTCTTGACTTTAATCCAGAACGTATGGAGATTTGAAGTTGTCTTAAACATACTTTTAAGGCCACCATCATTTGTAATCTCAAGCAGTTGATCCTCTTCTAGCACGGACAAAGTCGATTCACCTGGCTTATTCACAAATGGGTTGTGGATCCATTCCTTCCGGTCGTTTGTGGTTGGGAATTACTGCGCAAACTCTTTTGAAAGCTGAGATAGGTGATCATGCACCAGCTGGGAGAAAGAAGGCCCTGGCTCAGTTTCTTTCAAGATCTCTGCTAATGCTTGAAATATGTCAAAAATCCCAATGTTCACTGGTTGCCCCCATAATTCCAGTTTGGCTTTGAATGCAGCCACTTTATCTGCCAACTTGAACACAGTTGTCGTTCTCCCCTGAAGTGACAGGTTGAGTTTGTTGAGCAGGTTGAATATTTCACACAACTAAGCAAGTTTTGTGACCCATTCTGTGTCACTGAAATGTGCTGCCAGTGGTGACTATTCTTCTAAAAGAAATCTCTGAATTGGCTCTCATAACTCCAAAACTCTGGCCAGTAATCTACCTTTAGAAAGCCATCTCACTTCTGTGTATAAGAGAAGGTGTGTGTGCTCTGTGAGGAGATGGACACTGACAGATGAAGCTTCGCTCACTCGCCTGCAGCTCACCTCCTGCTGTGCAGCCTGGTCCTAACAGGCCATGGACCAGGACCAGTCCTTGGGCCGGGGATGGGGACCACAGTTCTATTGCATAGTGGGATGACTAGAGTTAACAACAATGTATTGTATATTTCAAAATAGCTAGAACAGAGGTTTTTGAATGTCCTCATCATAAAGAAATGATAAATGTTTAAAGTGATGGATATGCTAATTACCCTGGTTTGATCATTACACAATATATACATGTACGGAAACATCACAGTGTACCTCATAATATGTACAATTATTATGTGTCAATGATAAATTTTTTTAATAGATGAAGACACTAAACAGACTAGCTATGTAAATTTAAAAATTTTAAAGTTTACTTTTCTGCTGCATGAGCACATACCAAATATAGATTGTTTAAGTGTGTCTTAGAATAAGAGCCACATTCTTTTGTAGCTTTGGCGTCTCAGGGACACTTCATTGTGAGGAAGGGAAGTTCTTTTTTTTTTTTTTTTATTTCAGCATATTATGGGGGTACAGATGTTTAGGTTACGTATGTTGCCCTTGACCCCTAAGGGAAGTTCTTCAGCTTTGCCTAGAGGAAGTTATTATTAGATCAGAATGCTCAAAAGTTTCTAGGATTTCAGTGCGGTTTGTATAAGTTTAGAATCAAAGCCCTAGGATGGTAGGGTACTTATGTCTGCTTTTAGGATTTATCATGGTGTTCTTTGACAGTTAACCTTACAAGATCAATACAGAATGAAACAGAACAGAGACATGCAGAATCACCTCTGCATCTGATGAGTCAGCTGGCTCTGAGGCCTGTAAGACTAGATTATAACCTGTTGGAATGTGAAAACTGTGTCAGTGAGAACAAACCACAAGTTAGTTAGCTCTAAGGAGGAAGCATAGGAGATGTAGAGTCACTAAGCAAAAGTTGGCAGTCAGTTGGCCTCTGTGATGGCAATTTCTTACATATAACAATTAATGGCATTTTAGTGACCCCCTTAGTCCTGTGTTCATTTTAGTTATCTTGACGTATTTCCCAGGAGTGGTGTAGAAACAGAATAAGGGAAGTCTGGTGACTCAAATGTTTCGGCATAAGGTTACTTAGAGTCTCCTAATTCAAATAAATTCTTGATCACAAGGCCTTCAGTACAACAGACTAGAGTGAGATCTCTCTGGCCTTTCCCTGCTGCCTCCCCCAACCTTTTTTTTTTTTTGAGACAGGGTCTTGCTCTGTTGCCCAGGCTAGAGTGTGCAGTGGCATCATGGTAACTCACTGCAACCTCAAATTCCTAGGCTCAAGTGATCCTCCTGCCTCAGCCTCCTGAGTAGCTAGGACTACAGTCGTATGCTACCACGCCTGGCTAATTTTTCTTTTCTTTTTTTTTTGTAAGAATAGAGTCTCACTATGTTGCTCAGGCTAGTCTCTAACTCCTGGCCTCAAGTGATCCTCCCCTGCCTCAGCTTCCCAAAGTGTGGGGATTACAGGTGTAAGCCACCTCACCTGGCCTGGCCTTCTCTTTTTAAATGACACTCCTATACCATACCTAACTTTATTCATTTTGTTTATTTGTGGATATTATTTGTCTGCCTTTACTTGACTTATCCACTGTCCTAAAATAGCTCAGAAAAGTACAAAAGAGGTTAATTTTGAGTACTGATAGAATTAGAAAGGATCCTAAATCAGGACCCTCCCACTTCCATAGGTACTTAAGTGATATAAAGGTTATGGTGGAAGTTCCCTGAAGAAATCGTTGCCATTCCCATGACTGTCCTTGAAAAGAGGAAAGAGTTGTAGTCTAGTAAGAAATGAAAGGGCAAGGTAGAGTGAATAAGGTTAACAATTGGGGGCCCGAGAGGAATAGTTTGATACTTTATCTCCTGTTTTCCTTGTCCATTTTGATTCAGTACATCAAGCTCTTTTCATTCAATTGCAGTTGGTTTTGAGTTTTTATTGAGTTGGAAGCTGTGTTGAGGAAGTGCTGGGAATTTAAGAGGAACCTTGAAGATCATCTAGGGCAGCAGTTTTCAAACTTTTCTACTGAAGTACTTCAAATGGTTTAGGAGAATGAGCCAGTAGCTAACTGTTTTGGGAGCATGTCCCAAAGTGGCTCAGTGCAAACTTAAAACATTTTTGTCTCAATTTTAGCTTAAAAATCATGGCCAATTTATATTCTTATCCATAATATTTGTACATGGGTATGTATAGAAAGCATTTTCTCTCCTTCGCTATGTTGTAGTTAGTGCTTGGAGATACAGTAAATAAAAAGTAGCTTTTTGGCTTTTTTTGTTTGGCAAAAGATTTTTGGTTCTGAGTAGATGCCCTCATCTTTTTTATATATTGCATATGTACTGTCATTGTTCAGAATTATCTTAACAGGTCATACTCCTATAAATATAGCGTTTTAGGTTACTTACGTGAGGACTGAACAAGATAGTAGATGAAAATCACTTTACAAAGCATAATGGCATAATGTCCCATTTAAATGTGAGGTTTTTTGTTTTCTATCTTAGTGCTCTTTACAACGTTAATCCACTCAGAGTTGAGTCTTATGCCCAAGTGAAAAATTAAATAGGAGAGAGAATGCTAAGATGTGTGTCAGGAGACTCCTTGGTTTAGACTTTCTTTGACATGATTAGGATCAGGTACAACAAAGTTAAACTAACTGTTGTTATAATTGATGCCCTTGCAGGAGGGAGCACTGGCAGTTGCTGGGTAATTTGAAAACTACTGTGGAGGGTTTGGTGTCAACCAACAGCCCCAACGTGTGGTCCAAGTATGGTGGCCTGGAGCGGCTTTGCAGGGACATGCAGAGCATCCTCTATCATGGGCTCATCCATGACCAGGTATGCACAACTCTTCTTTTTTGCCAGATTTGCTGAATCACTTGTTGGAAAGAAACAGTTGCATAAAGTTGGTTGGCAGGGAGAAGATGAAGGGCACTGGTCTGTGAGCTCTTGAGGACAAGACTGTGACAAAAAAAATGCATACTTTTTTTGTATCCAGAATATTTCACTTAGTGCCTAATGTATTATACCATAGATGTTAGTGGAATGAATACATTGCTGGGTAGGACAGCAAATCAGCAACAAGAGGTTAGGTCAGTTTATTAGTTTCCTGTTGTTGCTTTAACAAGTGACTGTACACTTAATGGTTAGAACAACAGAAATTTGTTATCTTACAGTTCTTGAGGTCAGAAGTCTGAAATGAGTTTCACTAGATTGAAACCAAGGTGTCTGCAGGGCTGTACTCTCTCTGGAGGCTCTAGGGGAGAATCTGTTTCCTTGCTTTTTCTAGCTTCTAGAGCTGCATTCCTATATGCTTTGGCTCTTGGCCACTTCTCCATCTTCAGTGCCAGCAGCACAGCATCTTCAAATGTCTCTCTCTTCTTTCTCATCATCTTCCATCCCCGTGATCTCTCCTGCCTCCCTCCTAAAGGACTCCTGTAATTAATTACATTGGGGCTGCCTGGATCATCCACGATAATCCCCCAGTTCAAGATCCTTAATTTAATCATAACTGCAAAATCCCTTTTGCCATAAAAGGTAACATTCACAGGTTCTGGGAGTTAGGATGCGGACATCTTGGGGGACCATTTTTAGCCAACCATGGTCAGGAAGCTTTTTCTTTTGAATCTTAGTTTTGGTTTAAAACCATACTGTTTTTTCAGAAATAGGTAGTATAAGAGAAGAAAAACAGCCAAGGCAAAAATGTGTTCAGTTAGTCACTGGCTTTCATCCAGGAAATGTTTCTGCACAATGAGAAGGTGAAATTCCATATGCTCAGTTACATTAAATGTACTTTCCTTTGGGAAATCCTTTTGCCTAGAAACTAGTGTGTTCCAGTGATAATTAATTGCCTAGGCTTGATGAGATTGGTGTAATTAGGACTAAAATTCCTTTTCCAATACAAAATCAGCAATTCTTCCTCTGATTCTTTGTGGATTAGAATTTTACCTTGTTCCCTAAACTTAGACTTTTGTTATTACTATCTTTACTTCAAATTAGTAATGGGAAGAAAGAATTATATACTTTCCTGGCAGGAGTAGTGAGAATTCATCTTCAAAATACATGTGAAAACCGTAGCAGGTATGGAAGTGACTAGTGAAAACACGAGGTAAAAAGAAGAGAGGAGGATTAACATGAGTAGTTAATGGGTAGTGTGGTTCAGAGTAGAGCCAGCCTGTCTGGGTTCAAATTTCAGCTCCTTCATAAACTAACTATTTAATCTTGGACAAGATGCTTAACCTCTTTGTACTTTAGTTTCCTCACCAGTAAAATGAGGTAGTATCTATGTACCTCTAGGGTTGTCCCGTGAGGATTAAATGAGTTAATATATGTAAAACACTTGGAGCATAGTAAGAACGAGTCAAGTATGTGCTGTGATGACGATGAGGAGAAGGACAACGATGAGTCATTGGGATTTTCCTCTTAGCCTTTTAGGACACGTGTGAGAAATATTTACAAAATATTGTATTTTTGGAATATTCTTTGAACATTACTTTGTAGACAACTGGTTGATACTCATGAATGGTAGTTTTGATTGTAGCTTAAATTGTTTTTACTATAAACTTTGTTGATGTTGAGTTTCTTTTTCTTTATGTACTCAAACACTCTAATAAGTTTGGAAGTTTGAAAATAGGTGGAGTGCAATAGTACTTAATGGTTTTTGCTTTATCTTGGGTAATTACTGCATTCACAGTGTTTTAAATAAGATTTGGTTCTGGATAAAATTGTCAAGTGAGTCATTGGGGTTTGGTATCCTCCTACTTTTTAAATATCAAACCTCACAAATACATGCATAATTGCATGTTCTAAAACAGTGTTGTCCCCAACCTTTTTTGGCACCAGGGACTGTTTTCAAGGAAGACAATTTTTCCGTGGACCAGGGAGGGGGAATAGTTTCAGGATGATTCAGATGCATTACATTATTGTGTACTTTATTTCTATTATTATTACATTGTAATATATAATGAAATAATTATGTAATTCAGCATAGGTTGGGGGATCCCTGTTCTAAAACACTCATGTCCTCCCATGTCAAGGCCTAGTGTTATTTCCTAGAGCTCCTGTTCTCTGAGCCAATCTTGTGTTTCTTTTTTATCAGAATTTGTTCTCTGTTAAGCAGTCACATTTTTAAAAATCTTATCAACTAATTGGTATTAAAGTATTTATGCTTGATAGGATTTAATGTGATACCTTCCCTTCTAGAAATAGGTATATATTACCTCTGAACAGTATCTTTAAACCAGTGTGCCTGCTGGATATTTTCAGAATTCAGTGAAAAGATGACTTATGTTAGATTTTTTTCTATTCAGAGTAAGTTCTGAAGGTGAGGCCCTCTCAAAGAATTTTAAAGATAGGAAAAAAGTTCTGCTTTAAAGAGCTAAATTCTTTTTTTGTTTTTTGAGACAGAGTCTTGCTTTGTTGCCCTGGGTAGAGTGAGTGCCTAGCTCACAGCAACCTCAAACTCCTGGGCTCAAGCAATCCTGCCTCAGCCTCCCGAGTAGCTGGGACTACAGGCATGCGCCACCATGCCCGGCTAATTTTTTCTATATATATATATTTTTAGTTGTCCAGATAATTTCTTTCTATTTTTTGATAGAGATGGGGGTCTCACTCTTGCTCAGGCTGGTCTAGAACTCCTGACCTTGAGCGATCCACCCACCTCGGCCTCCCAGAGTGCTAGGATTACAGGCGTGAGCCACCGCGCCCGGGCAAGAGCTAAATTCTTAATGGTCATCATTTTAAAAACACCATTCTAGGAATTTGGAAGCAACATTGTGACAGAAATCTTTGGAATCAAACAGAACCTAGATCAGAATCCAGACTCACTGCTCAAGTCCCTGGGAAATAAAATGACATAGTGGTTAAAATTATGAACTTTTGAGTCAGACTGCTCACATTTTAACCTCAGCTTTACCATTAACTTTGTGGGTAAGTTACATAACTCTTTGTGCTTCTGTTTCCTCATTTGTGAGGTCAGATAACACTGCTACCCACCTCCTAGGGTTACTGTGAGAATTAGATGAAAAGCATTAGAAAACATAGTTGTCAGTCAATCTTAGCTATTAGGTAATATTAATTTTTTTGAACCCTTGCTTTTCTCATATGTAAAAATAAAGATAATAGTATTTATTTCATAAAATAAATCTTGATGGAAAAAGTAAAGGAAATTACATACACATTTGCCACCATTTGTGGCACATAAGACGTAATTGATAAATGTTCTTTTCATTTTTTTTAGTTTCTAATTATATATAGTCCTGTGGAAAACAATAATTAAGAACATTGAAATTTGCAAAGCAAATAAGTTGATCCACCAAAATCTGATTTCTGCCCGTACCACTGGTGATTGTGCACTGCATTTTAAGTAAAATGATGTCCATGTTACCAAATCCAGTGAACATTTCTCATTTGAACATGATCTTGTGTTCAGCACTGTTGACCATCATCATTCCTTGACTTATATGACATTATCTTCTGCTGCCACAGAAACATTGGCCTACCTCTGTAACCACTTCTCAGTTTCTTTCTCTGGAATTTCCTCCTCTTGGAATTTTTTTGTTTTGTTTTGTTTTTTGACAGGGTCTCACTCTGTCACCCAGTCTTGAGTGCAGTGGCATGATCATAGCTCACTACAACCTCAAACTCGTGGCCTCAAGTGATTCTCCTGCCTCAGCCTCCCGAGTAGCTAGGATTACAGGCATGCACCACTACACCCAGCTGATTTTTAAATTTTTTGTATAGATGGGGTCTTGCTATGTTGCCCAGGCTGGTCTCAAATTCCTGGTCTCAAGCAGTCCTCCTGCCTTAGCATTCCCAAAAATGCTGGAATTACAGGTGTAAGCTATTATGCTTGGCTGTCTTGAAATTGTTTTTAAATGGGGTTCTGCCATTTGTCCTTATCTCTTCATACTCTATATTTTCTTGAAGCAATCTCATCCACTTGCATTGTATTAAGTATCACCCATACACTGATGACCCCCAGGTCAGACATCTCTCCTGAACTCTAGATCCAGAAGACTAGCTGTCTCCTATACGTTATCATCTGGCTATCTGTCCTACGGGCCCAAGCACAACATGACCAAAACTAAATTTATTTTCTCTCATGAGTTTTCCCTTCCTCTTAATATTCTTTACACTAATTGCAGCATTGACCTACTCAGACAGAAACTTGGGAGTCATGCCAACATGTTTTACAAAAACTCAATGTAGGTTTCCTAGGCCGTTGACCAAAATAGCTACCAGATTAGTGGTACTGCCATTTAGTGGTTCAAGTTCTTGTGTGATGATAGCAAATGTGTTCTTTTCTTAGCCCTATTACTAAAATTACATTGTCGTCTAGAGTAATCACTTACCCATATTACAAGACAGTTTCACCATCTTTGCCAGAAAAAAAATGTGAATGAAGTCAATGAGATCCTCAAATGAAAGATGCTTGGTAAATGCAAAGCACTATTAACATATTTTTTTATAGTTATTAAAAGTGGTAATATCTGCTGTGAAGGCACCTGGTCATCAGAATTAAAAATATCAAAGCGTATGGTCACTTGCAAAAAAACGGTAGTGTTAATAAGTGGAAGCAGAGCAAACCAGGCAAATGTGTCATAGGTACACACACACTTAGCAACTGCAGGCTCTAATGGGAAGAATCAAAAACAAAAGATCCATGCCAATTTCATTGTTGCTCTCTTCTGCCTTGTAAAGATCTAAGAATTAAAGTCTGTGTCAAGAATTTGTCATTCCCTTTCATTTCCTCCTTAAAGATTAAGGGTTTCAAAGGTCTTGGGTTGCTGTGTCATTAGGAAGCTATTTCGGGCCTTGTGCTCTTGGCAGGGTGGGGAAGGGATACAGTTGATTCATGTTGGTCTTATCTGCTCTGTGCTTTCAAAAGGATATGTATGGAATGTGAGTTGAATTTTTAAAAAATCATTCAAGGCCTTAGGAGAGCTATAACAGCATGACCATATTCTTAGAGGGATCTCATTTTTCTTGACAGCCTGCATCTGGGCTGCTTTTTAGGCCTTCTGCAGGTAAGGCATGTTTGATAATCTTTCTTCTGCTTAGAAATGTGGAGAAACTCAGTTCCTGAGATTGCTCAGCTGAATAGAAGTAAAAGGATTCCCCCTTTCTCCACTGTTGCGAAGAAACTTGTTGGCAACATATATAGCCCAATTTTAAAAAGAACAATAATAAGGAAAAAGAACTCTGTGTGTTTGTTTCCTGAATATATAAGTAATATACTTTTATTTGTTGAAAATTCAGAAAATACCAAAAAGACTTTAGAAGAAAGTTAATATCACCAATAGTCTCAACACCAAGTAATAACAACCACCTTTAACATTTTGGTAATTTTTTTCTATGGAATTATGTATTTTTTTAAATATTAAGATTGTATTCCATATATATCACTTTGTAACTTGCTTTAAAGATATTTAATTTTTTAAATAGACAATACATTTTACATGGTTAAAAAATCAAGAAGTATAAAACTGTAAACAATGAAAAATCTTGTTCCCTTCTGATCCCATAGGTAACTACTGTTGACTAGTTTCCTTCCAGAGAATTTTTATGATTATAAAAGCCAACATGAATAATTGTCTTTGCTACACCTCCTAGCAAAGTCAGCATACCGTACTCACTCTTCTGTACCTTGCCTTTTTTACTGAATATATCTTGTAATTCATCTCAAATCATTACATAAAGAGCTTCTTCATTCTTTTTTATAGCTGTCATTTTATAATATTCCATTGTATGTATGTATGTACCATAATTTATTTAGCCAGTCCCCTGGTGAGGATATTTAGATTGTTTCCAATCATTGGCTATTAGTAATAGTGCCTCTCTATGTAAATAATTTTGCCCTTTACCATAGGATGAATTCCTAGAATTCTTAGGTTAAAGGGTATGTGCATTTGGATTTTGATAACTATTGCTAAATTGCCCTCCAGGAAGTTATGTATATTTATACCATTGGTAGCAATGTGTAAGAGTATCTGATTCCCCATACCCTTGCCAATACAGGGTATTATTAAACTTTTTGAACTTTGCCAATACGATAGGTAAAAAGTTACATTTCTCTTACCATGAAAGGATGTTTATAAGAGTCATTAAATTTTTTCTTTGTGAACGTTTTCCTATTTTATTCCCTTTCTCCTTAGATTGTTAGTCTTTTCCTATGGATTAATAGAACCTCTGTATTTATTAAGAGAATTAGTCCTTTGTCTGTTATGGGAGTTGCAAATATTTTTTCCTAGTGTGTCTTTTGACATTTCTTATGGTGGCTTTTACTCTCACAAAATATCTGGTTTTTAGTAAGTCAAATTAGTTATTTCTCTTATGGTTTCTAGGCTTTGATGCTTACACAGAACTTCTCTACTCTGTGATTATTAAAAGTGTTTTCCCATGGTTTCTTCCATTACTTTTATGGCTTGATTTTTAATTAATTAATTAATTTATTTATTTATTTATTTTTGAGACAGAGTCTCGCTCTGTTGCCCGGGCTAGAGTGCCGTGGCATCAACCTAGCTTATAACAACCTCAAACTCCTAGACTCAAGCCATCCTCCTGCTTCAGCCTCCCGAGTAGCTGGGACTACAGGTGTGTGCCACCAGGCCCGGCTAATTTTTTCTGTTTTTTTAGTAGAGACGGAGTCTCACTCTTGCTCAGGCTAGTCTTGAACTCCTGAGCTCAAGCAATCCTCCTGCCTTGGCCTCCCAAGAGTGCTAGGATTACAGGTGTGAGCCACCCCACCCAGCCGGCTTAATTTTTTATATTCAAACCATTCCATCTGTAATTTATCTGGGATATATTTAATTCGTACACATTTGGATCTATTTGTGGATTTCTATTATGGTGTGTTATTCTCTATTTGTGTGCTATCACCATTCAGTTTTAATTATGGTAGCTTTTCATTATGGTAGGGATAGTTCCTCACTCTTACAGCATTTGTTATTGTTGTTTTTGACCTTTTCTCCCTCAACATACAAACATTTATCATTTATTTACCTATGAACTACCACTTCATTTTTTGATAAGGACAGGAGATAACTTTTTATACAACATGATCTGGATCATTAACTAATTAAATGAGGGGGACCAAACAATGATGATGACATACATAGCTCAAACATTTTATTTTATTTTATTTTTTGAGAAAGAGTCTTGCTCTGTCACCAAGGCTAGAGTGCAGTGGTATCGTCATAGCTCACTGCAACCTAAAACTCCTGGGCACAAGCGATCCCCCTGCTCAGCCTCCCAAAGTTTTAAGATTACGGGCATGAGCCACTGTACCTGGCCACAAACATTTTATTCTAATATAAAACATATAAATTTACATCTGTTCAACAGTTTTTTGGATATTGGATCAAAACCTTATCTGTATGTATGAATCCATTGATAGAGTTCCATAACATCTTTCTTATATAAATGGCACCTGTAATACATCATATAGAATTTCCAGTGTCAGTTTCTTTATACTGGGCCAGCAATTTAAAGATCTTGTAATATGAATATAAAATATTCATTTTTAGTTTTTTGATGACTTCCGAAAGTTGTCTTGTCCCCACCTAATTTGATATCAAGTCTTTATAGTGACTTTCCTTTATTGAAAATGTTTTTCGTACTACTTAGTGTTCATAAATACAGTTATTTCCTCAATGTATACAGTTATTACTCTAAATGTGACATTATAACAAGTACAACTGACATAAATCAGTTTGGGAACATAAATAACTGATTCTTGGTAAGCCACATGTGAACTGGTGGGAGTAAAGTGTGCATGATTATTCTAGAGAGCAGTCTGTATCCAGCTTGAGTGCTTCTTTCCCAGAATCAGGAGAAGTGGAAAGCCATCCACTCATTCAGCAAATATACAGCATCGCTTTTAATGTGTATATAATATTACATGCATGAGTGTACTCTAATCAGTGCCCTACTAATAAATTTTCAAGTTATTTACATATTTTTTGCTATTATAAAAAAGGCCAAACAGTCATGTTGGTTTTTTATTTTACATAGAGAAATTTAAAATTTGTGCCTCTACCTGTTCCTTTTTTTTTGTTTTTCTTTGAGACAAGGTCTCTCTCTGTTGCCCAAGCTAGAGTGCAGTGGCATCATCATAGCTCACTTCGACCTCGAACTCCTGGGCTCCAGCAATCCTCCTGCCTTAGCCTCCTGAGTAGCTGGGACTACAGGCATGTGCCACCATGACTGGCTAATTTTTCTGATTTTTGTAGAGACAGGGTCTTGCTCTTGCTCAGCTGGTCTTGAACTCCTGGCCTCAAGCAATCCTGCTTCGGCCTTCCAAAGTGCTCGGTTTATAAGTGTAAGGCACCTCATCTGGCCCTATATTTTTTTAATTATTTAGATTTCAGTTTTAGCTTCTGCCTTATAGTCTCAGGAAGGATTCTGAAAAACAGCAATTGGGTTTTCATGGTATAAACATTTTGCTGTCATGTTCAGGCTTATTCCATTTTAGCTAGGACTGAGCATTTCTTTGACTCTAAATACAGCCCTTTCTTGACCTGGATGGCATGGGAAAGTGGATGTTTCCTTATTTGATTTTGCTTTTAATAGGAACTAAAGACATCTATCTCTGGCTTTTAACAAATAATCCTTCACCAGTTTTAAGAATTACCTTTTAGGAAACAGAATGGTAGCGAGAAAGGGGTAGAAAACATATTATTTTTACTGTATACCTTCTATATCATATGCATGTATTACCTATTCAAAAGAATGATTACAATAATTTTTAACAATTTTTTTTTTTTTTTTTTTGAGACAGAGTCTCGTTCTTTTGCCCGGGCTAGAGTG